CATCTGCTGTGTGCTTGTGGCCTGCTGCAGCTGTCAAGGGTCCCATGGCTGTGAGGGGGGCAGGGGAATAAGGGCTGTCCAGAGGATATTATATTTATGTATCTGAAAACAGTTGTATATATGTGTGTGTATGATGTATTTATGTAATTATAAGCAATTGACTGTTGGGATTGTAGAGGTTAAGGAGTCTATAGAGCAGTTAGGATATTTTTGTTGTTGCTTTTTTTTTTTTTTTTTTGGCAGAACCAGGGATTGAAGTCAGGCCCTTGCACTTGTCAGGCAAGCGCTTATTCTGTTGAGCTATTTCCCTGGTGGCCCTGTTTTGTTTTTTGAAATAGGGTCTGTTGTGTAGCCCAGACTGACCTTGAAGAACTCCAGGTGATTTTTCTGCCTGAGCCTCCCTACTGTAAGGACTACCGGCATATACCACCATGGTCAGTACTGTTAATCTTTTTTTTTTTTTGGCAGAACCGGGGATTGAACTCAGGCCCTTGTGCTTACCAGGGAAGCTCTTCTTCCACTGAGCCATCTCCCCAGCCCCAGCACTGTTAATCTTCAAGCCACATTTCTCCTCTAGTTTTGCTCTTATGGCCTGTCCATGAAGACCACTTGCCTGAAGTGGTGCTGAGCTAGTTGATGCCTGACCCACGCAAGTCTGTCTGCCTCCAAAAGCTGATTCTTTGTCCATGACCCCGTGTCGCCTCTCAGGTGGCCCCGGTGTACGGAGTAGCTACTAGGAGCCAGTCAGCTAGTAGTCCAGCAGGTGTGCAGCTCACCCAGGACCACCGCCAGGACCACTGCGGCTGTTGTCAGGGCTCGAGGGGAAGCACCAGAACTGAGGGTCCCTACTGTCTTGCGGGCCCTGGGGAAATAGGGATGTGGGATTCTCCCAGAGGCCCCTGCTGCCTGTCCACACTACCTTCCATGTCTTTGCTCTTCTATCTCTCCTGCAGCACCAGGACAGACTCAGGCTCCATTACTAACCCGTGCAGGGAAAGTGAGACTTCCTGGAGCCACAGGCAGTGAAAGCCAACACTCAGACAAGCCCCGGGGCAGATAAGCATCTTGGGAGCTGCGGAGCCGGCAGCTACACTGTCCTTGTTTGTGTTCCTGAGCCTCCGCTGCAGGGGGGCGTGGGCAGAGCCCTCAAATGCTTCCCTCGGAATTCTAGTACCACCCAGGTGGAGAGATGGGAGGCTTAGCAGCGAGGAAGCCAGGAAGCGGCAGCAGGCGAGGATGGGCTGTGAGAGGTGGGAGGAGTGAGGTGCATTCTGGGAGGGCCTGCCCTGGTTCCAGCTGGAGTGCGGGCGGCAAGGGAGCTGAGGGCCTGGAGCGCAGGAGCACACACACGCACACACACACAGGCACACCTGCGCGTTCCCACGCACAGGCACCCACGCATAATTGAAAAAGACCACTGCTGCGGCACAAAGGTTTAAAGCAAACTCCATAGGACAGAGATTCAGAGAGCAGCTGGGGGTGATGGCTTCATCTCTTTGGCAACGCTGGCTTCCTCCTGCTTTCTTTCTGACAGGGCACTGGCAATTCCCTTGTCTGCCATTTCTTCCATCACTAAACGCCCCACAGGGCGTTTTTGTTGTTGTTGTTTGATTTTTTTTTTTGGTACATAATGATCACATTCATGGCAGGGAGCACCCCCCTACACACCTTGCACTTGCCCAGCAGGCACTGTGCCTGCTGCTGGGCTATATCCCCAGCCTCCTAAATTATTTTATGTCCCCTTTCCCTCCTACTTCTGCCTCCTCTATCTCTTGTCCCTTTCCCATTTGCAAGCAATCTGTTTCCTATTATGTATGTATGTATGTATGTATGTATGTATGTATGTATTTGGTATAGGGTCTCACTGTTCAGCTTGGACTCATAGTGACCCTTCTGTTTTCAGCCTCCCCAGCACTGCGATTACCAGCATGCACCACCATGCCCAGTCTCACCGGCCACCCAGACTGGGTGGCAGGCTCAGTGCATCCAAGGGCAGGGCCGTTGAGACATGTGGTACCTGGGATCAAACCCTGGTGCCTGTGCTTGCCTAAGCAGGCATTTAGTCTGCTGAGCTATCCCTCAGGCCCCCCAAAAATGCAATACCTAAGCTTGTATGTCTGATGTATTTTACTTGCCATTATGATTTCAAGTTGTACTCACTTTCCTACAAATGATTCATTTATCCTTTGGATGGCAGTAGTATTCCTTTTTTTTTTTTTTTTTTTGGCAGAACTAGGGCTTGAACTCAGGTCCTTGAGCTTGCCAAGGAAGCACTTATTCCACTGAGCCATCTCCCCAGCCCCAACTGTAGTATTCCCTTGTATGTAAATACCACAATTTCTGTATCCACTCAACTCATCTGATGGGCTTACACTTTTTAAAAATTTTATTTATTTGTGTGTGTGTGTGTGTGTGTGTGTGTGTGTGTGTGTGTGGCCAGCACAGCCCACCAGGGGGCGGGGCTGGCTGGCATGTGGTGCTGGGGGATTGAACCGCGGTCCCTGTGCTTTGCTAAGCTTGTTC